ACCCTGTCCCCTTGCAGCCTGTGTGCACACAGGTGTCTCCTCAGGCTGGGATGGTGGCCCTTTCACCTATGCCCTCCTCTGGGTTACCTATTTGTGAGATTCTAAGCTCCGGGCACAGATTACAGTCCAGAATGGCACAAAGGGAGGAAGAACTCGGCTCCTACCTAAATGGTCAGGAGGTTCCAGGTACAAATGCCCAAGCGTCTGAAAAATTAGAAATAAACATCTTTTCTGACTCCTTGTACTTTTTTATGTTAAACCTCACCACCACGTTCCACACCATAAAAAGGAAGAGAGAGAGAAGCCCTTCTGACGCCTGCCCCAGGGTCACTCCCCTGGCAAGCTGGAACAGGACCTCGAACCCAGACGCGGGCATGGCAGTGAGGTGGGTGAGGGGGGGGAGGGGCCTGGGGGAGCAGTCCACCCTGGGACAGGCTTGCCTGCCTCATCCACGGCCTCTGAGACAGTCCCAGGTCCCTGTCTGAGCTGCCAACAAGGCACAGTCCTTCCTTTCCTCTGCTGCCCCCGCAGAGGCACCAGCAGCAGGTGGGAGCCTTTTCCAGGTGCTTGGTCACAGACAATCTCAGCCCAAGTGTGGCTCTACCCACCCCTGTGAGCCCAGGCGGAACTCGGCCTGTGTTAGCAATGCCCCTCAACCAGGGGGCACAAGACAGCTCTTGGCTCTGTAGGCTGAGCCCAGCCCCAAGGTACTGGCCTCCCTGCACCTGCCAGGCCCCAGGTGGAAATCGAAGCAACATCCATAAAGCACCAACAGAGCTGGAAGTAGAATGGACGGACACACACACACAGGCAAGAGCTGCAAAACCTATGAGATGTGGCTCTGGGACTGGGATTGGGAGGGACCTTTTCCAGAAGCAGTCACATTTGCTCAGCCTTTGAAGTGGCTGAGTGGGCCTCTGGGCAGAGCAGAATCCTAGAACCTTGGGATGGGAGAGGTCCACACTGCACAGGGGCGGAAGTGGACGCTCCAGAGGGAGGTGACTGTCCAGACTCGCCTCAGACCTCTCAGGAGACGCACAGTGGAGCCCTGGCACCCAGGCAGCCTTCCTGCAGGTGGGCACAGGCTGTGCTGGGGGGCAGTTCCCTCTGGACATGCTGAGCCCACAGTGAGCTCTGACTCTAGGGTGGCCCTGACACACCAGCCCCCAGAGGGATCTGACTACTTCCCACTCACTCCCAAAGTGTGACAACTGTCGTCTGCCATCCACTTCTCTTCCCTTCCCAACCCAGACCCTGTCTGAAGGGCAAAGGCAGCCCCTGGCTCCCCGTGGCAGGCTGCGGCTGCTGCTTTCAAGAGCCTCTGGCTTTCCAGCCCACCGGCCGTCTGATCGAGGGCTCCTGGCCCGCAGACCACCTAGTGGGCCCTGCTTTCCAGGCTGGGGAGAGGGCTGCAGCCCCGAGCTGACCATGATCTCATGAGAACCAGCAAGGCCCACTGATGACATCTGGGCCCAGAGACAGCTGTGGCACTTTCTCCTCCTTTCACTGGATTTTTTGGAGACCAGATTCAAGCAAGGGAATAGTTCGACCTTATCTGTGCACAAGCTACTCGTGGAAAGAATTCAGTTTTTCTGCCTGAAAATTCGGTCTACAACCCTGGTTGTTTTCCGCTGTGAGTTGGAATGAAATTGCCAACAGGACACATGACATGCAGGATCTGAATTACACTCCAGCCCATCCACAGGATTACCACTACCCTCTTCAGTGGCACAGCAGGGCTCCAGCTGCTGCCGACAGTGACAGCGTGAGAGCTGCCAGGGAGAAGTGACTGGCCTGGACTTGGTGGACTTTGGACTCTCCTACCACCCAGTGCCTACCTCTTAGCAAGAAAATGCCAGGAGAGCACAGCCAAGAGGACCGTGGATATAAGGGAACGAGCGCAGCTCAAGCCTGGCAGCCCCAAACTGAGATGACGCAGCCTGCCACCCTCTCCGGAAGCCTAGCTGCTTAGAAAGCCAGAATCCGACAAGGCAAGCGCTCGGGCATCAGCGGCAATGCCCGCCTGCCAGCGTAGGGGTCTCCCTTAACATGAAAGCGCTGGCTTCACGCGGCAGTGACCAGACTGTCTTGATGTTCGGCAGATCCAGCACCAGCCCCACTTGGGCCCCAATGGGCCTGTGCCAAGCTCCCTAGGCAGGAACGCCAGGCCTCACAACCCGCTCACTGGAAGGAAAGAGTGGCTGAAATGGTCTCAACTAGGAGAGCACAATTCTCTCCAAAAACTCTATTTACTTTAGGAGAGAGAATCTGGTGACCTTGAGGGTGGAGCGGGGGAGGGGAGGGGACGGCCTTCACTCACAATCCCTGCTTGTCAGCTGTCCCCACCCGTGGTGACTAGGGATTCCAGCTGAGGGTTCAAGCAGAGCTGCCAGGCTCGCTCTGCTCCCCGCTGCCTACAAGACAGAGAACACAGGTGCTACAAGCTGTGCTGGCAGAAGCTAGTTTTACCACATCTTAGCAGCAAAAACCTGTCTGCCCCGTATGTGGTGGCACTTTTGCTGTCATTTTCAGGCAGTGAGCTGCATCCCCTGCATTCACCTAGGGAATGGACACTGAGAAGCTGAGGGCTGGGCAGAACTGGCAGGTGCACCATGGCCCCTGGGGGCTCCAGAGGAAACCCAAAAGACACTCCTTCCATTCCACAGGAGGAACTGTCACTGTCTGAGGACAGTACCTCTCCTCTCCCCTCCCCAGGTGCAGCCTAGACTCAGGATACAAGGAGACTCCTACTTCCCACATCGCTTGCAACGTATGTTAGAAGGAAGTCATCAGAATGAAACAGGGAAAATGGGCATTTTTTTTTCCCTACCATAAAAATCTCAGGCTAAATCAAGACATTTCTTCCAAAAAATTATTTTTCCTAGTCACTAAAAAATTAGCAAAATGTTTGCGTTTGTCCAAAGACATTAAATACCCTAGAATTTCTTGAAAATAATGTTTAACTGTAGCTTTTCAGTAACTTCCCTTCTAAACCTTCTAATACTACAACTTCGACCACTTTAGTGCCATTGTTCTAATTCCTCATTATTACAAGTTTCATTCAGAAAATAAGAGTGAGACATCTCTGGCAAAACCCACAACTTTGGGAACCATCTTTGCCCAGTCACTAAAATCAGATGGGATTGCACCGGAACAGCCACTTTTGGATACTTTTTAAAATTTTAACCTGAAGGGACTGTTCTGTTTTCTGGTTATTTATAGCTGCTCACATAGCCAAAGAATATAAAGTCACATTGTGAGAGGGTAAATCTTAATTTTAAAAATAATTTATAGGTGATTTTTTCCTTCTGGGGGAGTTTTACAGGATGAAAAGGACCCAGGTGAAACTCTTAAATAAACTAGCTGTATCTAAATCTTTAGTCTCTCCCTCTCTCTCTCTCTGTCCTCTCTCTGTCTCAAGAGAGTCATCACTAAGAATTAAAATGTGCATGAATTGTCCTGGACCTTAGCATCTAAGACAAGGGAAGAGTTAATGCCTCTCCAGGACCCTGAAAGAGAAAGCCCAGCACATCACACAGGAGCACCCAGGAGGGCTGCCGGGGTTTGCAAAGCAGCCCTCAGGCCCCCAGACCAGCCTGTTTCTCTTCCCTCTGTCAGACATTTACAACAGGCCACAAAGGACTCCCAGGCACAAAGGAGTCAAATAAAACAATGGAGGCTGCATGCCCGAGCTTGCTTTCACATGGATAGAAAATCTGACCATCAGTAAGGCTCCTTGGGGCAAAATACAGAAACTAGGGGATAGGCTTCCACCTCGGCTCCCCCACACCAGGGCCCTGCCCTTCTGAAGGCCAAGGCCAAGCTGAGGAGGGGAGGGGGCAGGCCTCCCTCCTGCTCTCAGGGTCTGGGTTGTGAGTTTAAATCTGACAAAAGCACTTTTGTGTGGCTTCACCTCCCATTGCTATCACACTGCCAAAAACTACAGCAACAACACAGTGAGAGCATATAGAAGCTCAGGCCGACTTGATAGGTGAGCCCAAGCACGTGCCAGCCATTCAGAGTATGCCATTTGGAGGGGGCTGCATCTACCTGGCAGACCAACCTGTGTCCTCTGCTGGAGCTGGCCTGAGGACACTCAAGCCCTGAGACTTTGCCAGCTTCTTAGGAAAACTTCCCGGCAGGTCTCTAGGAAAAGCAGTAACTCCCCCCACCCCGTCCCAGTTCCCAGCCATTGCACTAACTTCCTCTTCAGCGACCCCAAGGCACTGCTACCACCTCCCTCTGCCCAGCTCGGGAGCTTCTGCCCAGGCAGATCCCACCCCACCCCGATGTCAAGTCAGATCAGACTCAGCAGTTTTCACTTCCCCCAAGAAAGGAAAATATTCTTTCCACTTTCTAGATCGCTTCCAATTGGAATGCATTAAAAGGGGTGGTGCTGACCCTTGCAGAGATCTGGGAAGCTCCACAACACATTCTTTCAGACAAAACTTCCCTTGCAAAACTGAGGCAGGGGGCACGTCAAATTTTTAAAGTTAAAGAAAAGAGATGCCTTTTGCAGCGGTTTCTTCCCAGAGGAAATGGCCCCGATGCAATGCAAACCCTCCAGAAAGGGCATTACAGCTTTTCAGTCGGTCACAGGGGCACCACTACCGGGAACTCAGCCAACCGCGCCCCACACCAGGCGCAAACGAAGAGGGGTGAGAGAAAATGTATTCGACTGCCCCTTTAGTTCACCCATTCTGGAGCCCCCAATTTCCTAACCCCTTTCTACCCTTTTTTCATGCTTGTTACTGTAACATCAACACAAATACCTTCCTCTCCCCAAATGGGGGCAGTGGGCGCAATGGTGATCTGTTTGCAAACACAAGGCCGTGACAGTCAGTAGCGGCAGGTGGGTCGTCTCTTCCCAAGGCTTTCGGACGCTGTCCACGGTAAATGCGCGCAGGAGTGAACGAATGTGAGTGTGAACGTGTGCTTCCCTCCTCCGTGACGGCCGGGCCAGAGTCGGACGGACGCGCACCCATGCTCGGTGACAGGCTGGCCCGCTGCTGCTCCTTAGCTGGGGTCCTCGGCGGCAAGGCTGCCCCCTCCCCAGCCCGCACGCTACCTGCAGCCGCACGCCTCCACCACCATGTCCTCGTACTGCTTGTAGACCACGTTGTTGGCGGCGTCGATGTAGAGGATGCTGATGGGGCTGAGGCGCGCGGGCACGCAGCAGGAGGCCGGCGCCGCGTCGGGCGCCATGGAGTTGAGCAGAGTCTGGATGATGGCGTGGTTGGTGGGCTCCAGGTGGGAGCGCAGCGGGAAGTCGCAAACACCCTCGCAGTGGTACGCCTCATAGTCCAGCGGCGCGATAATCCAGTCGTCCCAGCCCAGCTCCTTGAAATCCACGTGCAGCGGCTTGCGGCTACAGCGGCTCCGGCCCCTGCGCCCGTGGCCCCGGCCCGCGCCCCCGCCGCTGCCCTGCGCCGCCGCCCGCGTCCCGGCCAGCGCCGTCCTCCGCCGCCTGCGGCCACCGATGACTACCCTCGGCGACCCGGTGGCAGGTCCCGGGTCGGGCGGCGGCTCCGCGGCCAGGGCGGCCCCGAGCGCGCGGGCCTGAGCGCGGATCTCCCGGAACAGGCTCTCCTTCCTCTGCGAGCGGGAGGAGACGACGAGCAGCGCGCGCTCCTCAGCCGCCGCGCCGCCTCCGCCCCTCCAGCCGAAGCCCAGCAGCCGCAGTGCCAGCGGGCTCCGCGCCGGGCGGGCCACCGCGCGCAGCAAAAGGCAGAAGGCGCGGGGGGCGCGCGGCTCCCGACGGTGGCGCCGCACGGCGTCTGCCACGTCGAACACCTCCCAGCGTGCGCCGTCCAGGGGCTCGGCGGCCCGCGAGTGCAGCAGGCGAGGCGTGCGGGCAGCGCCCGGGCACGTGGACAGCAACAGCAGCGGCGGGGCAGTCGCGCTGCCAGGACCCTCCTCCGGAGACCCGCGGCGCAACACTCGCAGCTCAGCACCCACCACCTCGTCGGCGTCGGGAAGGCTGGACATGTCGAACAGTAAGCTCTGGCCCGTCTCAGCTGCCGATTCGTCTGCAGGGGACGGGCAGGGACAGAGAAAGAGCAAAGAGCGGAGTGAGAGCCGAGCCTGCACTCTCGGCCGCGGGGCCTCCTACCTGCAGACGTCCCTGCCGCCTTCGATGTGGAGCGAGGCCCTTAGAGCCGGCGCCCGGCCCATGTCTTGGCCACCGCCCGAAGGCTGCCAGTATGGCCTAGAGCAAAGGGAGCGCGGCCCCGACTATTGGGACCCGACTTTGGTTCAATGAACCAAAAGTCCCGCCACCCGACAACCCGCGGACCAGGAGCGCACCCCCGCACCCGGGACCAAGACTTAAGGCCATTACAATTCTGCCGCCTGCCCCAGAGCCATGGGTTTGTGGGGACAGGGTCCGAGGTGGACAGAAGGCCTAGTGAGCTCGTGGGAAATTTTGCGGCCCTTCCTTACGTTCGGAGCCCTGTGGGGAGTGCTCGTTATTGCCCTGCTGAGCCCCCTGGAGAGCCGAGTCTCCGCCGTTCGAAAACGGAAAATTCTTGTCCCCTGAAAACTCTTTCCTCTTCTGCTACCTCTGTTCCCCCATCCCAGCCTGGACGTCCCTTCTGGCCGCGGTCTCCCTTTCAGACTGGAGCCTGCGAGCCATCCAAAAGGGGAGCACGGCTGCAGAGTCCCTCTAGTCCGACCTGTCGCTTTGCTAAGGGGAACTGAGGCCCAGGGTCTCACAGCAATGAGCTCTGCTGCTGGATCAGGAACCCCAGTCTCGGCCCCTCCCGCTGCTCCGACGGCCTCCAAAGGAGGGGAAAGGTGGCAAAGGAAGGTGAGGAACCTCAGAAGGGCTGGGGGCAGGCTGAATGGCCTTGCTGCAGTGAGGGGGGCAGCGAGGTGAGTGAGCTCTTGCTTCCGGGACCCGCTGGTCCCTCCGCAGGCATATTCTTCCCTCCGTTGTGACTTATCTCAAGGTTGGGGGTTTTATTTCTGATTGTAGACACTTTTTTTTTTCCTTTTTGGGCTCAAGCAAAAAAAAAAAAAAGTTAAAATTCCACCAAGCAGCAGATAAGAGCTCCCTTTGAAGGGGGTCATATGGTTTCATTTTGCCCCAAAGTCGGAGAGACTGTGCAGACTCCCCCCACCACTGGGGATTGGCCCACCAGCCACCGACGCCAGGCCCTAATGCCTGAAGTCCAAGGTCTGGCCCTGTCATGGCCTCTGGGGACCTCAAGCAGCCTGCTCCAAGTTGAGGCTCAAGGTGGAGACAGGTTAGGAGAGGCGCTGGGCAGGCACCCCTCACCCACTTTCTCCCCTGGGCTTGCACCTGCACTCTCTCTGAGCTTCCCCTGCAGCCCCTCGGCCCCTCCCGGCTCCACCAGCCCTGCCACTGCATTGCCTCCACAAGGGCAAAAAGAGAGGTGGCCTCTCAGGCCTTGCCAGCCCAGGAGAGCTCCCCAGGAAAGGATTTATCTCCATCTGAGACCGTGGTAGACTTGGCTTAAGCTAAGAAAAAGAGTCTGGTGCCTCAGTCAGCTTAGGGTGCTGCACAGCTCTCTCCTGCAGCCTGAGAGGGAGCCCACCAGGACTGGGGTTTCCTATGAGGATCCCAGCAACCAGTCCCAAGGCAGTGTCAGGCCCTCAGAGAACGCCTGAGTGTTCTAATGAACCATAGGGCCATTTGGGCCCAGGATTTCTGCTACCCAAAATAAAGCACTCTGTGCATAGATGGGGGATCTGGTCACTGCCCGGACTCTGCCTGCACTCCCAGGCCACGACCTGAAGTGCACAGGCTGCCAGTGGCTCCCAAGCACGGTCCCCTCAGACCAGCAGCACTTATTTCCAGCCCTATTCGCCTTTCTTTCCCTCCTGCCCTCCATGCTGGGTCTCTGGCTGGATAGAATTAGGGCCAAAATTACTTGCATTTCCTCCTGAAATTAGTTAAATTTTCTCTATCTGTCTGCTTTAATGATTTCAGTGGAGATTAATAAAATCCAGATGACACACAGCAACCACCACACGGCCTCACCCACATCCTACCTTTGGAGGGCCCAGGGCAGAGCAAGGTGGGGCACTTGGTCTGAGAGAGGCCTGCATTCCTGCACGGTCTCCTGGCCTCTCCTCCCAACAAAACCAGAGTCCCGGACCTCTGGCTCTCCCAGGGGCCCAGGACCAGACAGAGGCACCCATAGCTACACACTTGGCACATACGAAAGCCACCACCACCCAGACCAGCCTGCTGAGTAGGACACTCCTCGTACCTGATGATGCCACCATCTTCTCCAAGCCTTTACTTGAGTCTGATGCTTGCCTCTGCCCCAGATTACCCTGGGCTTCCCCCAATTTGTGCAGCCTCCAGGAGACTGAGAGCTGCGGAAACTGCTGCAAAGAAGCAGCCGCCGCCATCACTCCGTCCCTCTCGGGCCGGACCCGAGTCCCAACTCCTGCCCTCCTTTCTTCTCCGAGGGCTCTGAGCCTGGGGCCACTCCAGACCCTTCCCCAAGAAGTGAATCTTGGACCCAGCCTGCCTCCTCAAAAGGACCCGCCACCCGACAAGGCCAGGGCAACCCTGCAGAGGGTACCCGCTCAGCCCTCTGGGACCCGGTCCCGCAAACTGCCGCGACTCGCGCCACAGTCCGGGCGCAGCGGGTTCGGGTGCGTTGGCCTTGGCAAAGTTTTTCTAACACCTGAGGCTGGGATGTGCGGGGTCGCGGCCCCAAATGGAATGGAGCAGTGGTACGGTTCCGGGGGTGATCTCAGCCCAGGGCCGGACGGGACGGGCAGGCACAGAAGAGGCGCAAGTACCTTGGGTCGCCTGGTCTGCGAAGCCGGTGATTGTGTCCGCGCGGCCGTGGCCTGAGACGGAGACAGCGGCTGCACCGGCCGAAGCCCGCCCGGCCAGGCTCCGGTAAAGCGACATCATGAAGTGGTGCGGCACCACCGAGCCGTTCCTGAAGCCTGAGCCGGCGGCGCGGCGCGCGGCGCGGGCCCCGGGAACCACGGCGGCCGGGACAGCCGAAGCGCCTGCAGCCGGAGCGAGGGTCCGCCCGCCGCCGCCGCCCCCCGGGCTCCGGGCCGGCCCAGCCCCCGCCGCTCGCAGCACTGCGGCCGCTTCCAGCCCGTCGCGGGGGCGGCAGGCGCTCAGCAGCCAGAGGCACAGCGCGGCGGCGGCGCTCAGGTCCATGGGCTCCGTGGGCCGGGAGGGCGGGCGGCGAGGGCTCCGTGACTCCGGGAAGTCCCCCGGCGCCTTTTGAACATAATGTTTAATAATGGGGGAAGTGTGCGCAGCCAGCCGCGGCCCCCCCTCCTCTCCCACCCCACCCCGCCCAGCGCCCGGAGCAGCGCCCTCTGCTGAACACTCTAGCGGCAGCGCTGCGCCCCCCACTCTGGCCCAGAGTGGAGTCCCGGGCAGGAGCCTCCTCCCCCCACCGCAGTGTTTCGCCCCCACCTTCACCAAGCGATTGCTACCCGCCCCAGGCTCCCGCCTCAACCGGGTGTCCTGCTTCCATTCCCCGCGGCAATGCGAACCCCGCTCCGCCCGCGCTGTGCCCGAGACCAATGCTCCCTCCTTGGTTCGAGGCTCCGGGGCATCGCGCGTACCCGCCCAGCTGCCTACCCACTCTTCTGCGGAGAAACACCCGCCCCCTCCCCGTTCCTATTCCGCTAGTGCCAGGGACGCCAGAGGTGGGGCCGCGGAAGGGATCGCCCGTCCCGTGCGGCTCGCGCTGCGACCCGGTGGCTAGCGCGCACCGACCGAGAGGCCACAGAGCGCGCCGGGCGGCCGGAAAGGCGCGTTGTCGATCACCAGGTCGGCGGTTTCCCACCTTGTCACAGCCTCCAAAGGATCCGAGCGGGCGGCCGGAGCAGGGGAGAAGGCCCACCGGAGAGGAAGAGAGGATGAGCGGCTGTAAGGGAAGGCCGGAAAGAGACCCATGGACACGGGCCGCCTGTCGGAAAGGAAAGGTTTGGGCGCGGAATTTGCGCTTAAGCAGGAGCCAAGCTCTTAACGGAGATCAGGAATTACTAAGGCAGCCTCGGGGTAAGGAGGGGACTCCCGCGCTTGGGTGCGCTGCCAGTTTGGGCGTCGAACTGGTGACCTTCCGCCCGCCTTCGGGGGTGGGGGCGATTAGCTGGAACCCGCTACCCGGTAAGTCTGGGCGCGGCCAGAAGCGGGGAGGGCGGGCGGCTAGGAGGCCTGGGGAGGCGCCTCCGTACTTCTTTCCGTCGCTGCGGTTATGGCACCGGCCTGGGTGAGTGGCCGGGACTCCTGGCCGAGGTGGCGGAGCCTGCGAGTGCACTTGCGCTGGCGTCAGGACACTGGGCTCCACAGCTGGCAGGGGGAGATCCCGGAGGCCACATCTCCGGAGGACGCGCAGGAGAGGGAGGTCGTCGGCGAGTGTCGGCTCAGCTCGAGGGGCAGCCGAGAGATTCCCTGAGTGCGGAAAACTTACAGCGGATCCACGAGCCGGACGAACTCCCGAAGAAGGGCAGGCGCGTCCTTTTCGTTTAAACTCGAACTCTAGACCGGACGGTGCGTTGTGATCCCTCTGAGCGGGTTGTCAGTTTCAGCGCGATGCTGCCGGATCCACAGCCGCACGCCGGGCTGCGCTGCTCTCTGACCCGCAGTAGAGGCCCAGCCTGGAGCTCCCCTGAACCGCCGCTTCGTCCCAAGCGAACTCGCCTTGCGGGCCACCGCGCAGACGCGGCGCCTGCTCACCTTGGGGCTTTGAGCTACTTAACGCTCAAAGACATTTGGGGGCTGGAAAGAGAGGCCTGGCGAGGGTCAGTGCTGGCGGATCGATCGAGTGGGCCGAGGAGAAACACCTGAAGTAAGCGGGAAGGGCGGACCCTGGGCCAGGGTAAGCGCTGCCGGCGCGGAGGGTCTTGCCAGGGTCTTCCCCAGACCTGAACAAGCCCCCCCGGGGGTCTGGATAAGCAGGCTGCATTAGCCCACTCTGCCTTTGGGACCAAGGTGGGAGACTTGGCGACAAATCCATAATCACGGATTTCCCTCTTTTGGTGCCCGTACAAAGTGGCCCTGCAGGAACTGCGCCGGCTGGCTGGCAGATCCGAACAACCACCACACAGAGTGGCTGGCAGCAGGTCTCTGCTGGGCTCTACCGTGCTACTCGGCCTCCTTTCCCCTTGCAGCCAGGAACACACGGCCTTTTGGTGTTTTACAAATCATCTCGTCTAAGATTTGTGCCAACACCCTGGGAACCCCGTGCTGGGGTCAGTAGTGCTAGTCCTAGATCTGGCTTTGATCACTAACAGCAAGTCTCCCTTGCCTTGTCTTGGCTTCAGTTTCCTCTACTTTTTGAAGGAGAGAATAGAGGGCCCCTGGCACAGTCTTGGCACAGCCGGTAACAAGTAAATGTTTGTTGATTACATGACAGCCCTGCCCTTAGGCCACCTTGGGGCTTAAGGAGACATGAGTTGGAATCCCTGCACCCTTGCCATCCCCGTGGGAGCAATCCACTTGGCTTCTTTGAGACCCAATTTCCCCATCTGTAAAATGGGAGAATTCTCAGCTCAGGAAGTTTGTGTGTGGCTGGGATAACAGGCTAGCAAAGAGGAGGCTTAGTAGCTTTGTCCCCAGCCCCCAATGTATTCTGAGTGCCAGGGGTGATAATGGCAGAGGGAGAAGCAGCTTCCACGCACTGGAAGGCTTTGCAGGAGACATTCGGAGTAGGCTGATGCTGCCAGGGCCATTGCCTGCAGTTGTGTGTGCTGAGTTCAACGCAACTTCACCCCCGTGTCTGGTCTGTACAGTGAGGACACTCATTCATTCATTCAATTATTTATCATCCCTCCACCATTCATTCCTTCTTGCAAGTAATACTCATTGCCAGTTACTCTTCTGTGTATTGTGGATTCAGCAACACACAGGATGAACACATGGAGCTTTATGATGGGCACAAGAAGCAATAAACAGTAAGCACGTAAATGTACAATACACTGCCAGGAGATTCAGAGCAAAGCGATGGGAAACCAGGACTGGCGGTCTTCATGATCAGCAGAGGACACGTCGGCCCGTAAATAATGATGGTGCCCATTTTGTTACCTCCTGAATCCCGTCATCATGCCTGCTGCTTTACACACCTCATGTCGTTGCATTCTCACAACTATCCTATCCTGACAGCTAGATACTATTCCCATTTTATAGATGAGGAAAGTTGAGTCAAAGAAATTCAACATCTTGCTCAGAGTCAGCTGGTGAGTGGCAGAGTTGGTGACAGAGTGGAGTCACCAACTCTCTTTGCCCAATGTTTGGCTTTCCATTGACTGTGGGGGATGGGGGTGTGAGGGGCTTTAGTTGGCTAACCCCTCCCTCAACCCCAGAGGAGACACAGAGTGTTCCTGCCTTTCCTCTCTGGCTCTCTGGAAAATTTTTGGCAGAGAAAGAACCTCTCAGGTCCAAGCGAAAACTACAAAGGTGCTGCCCAGGAGACTCCTTCCTGCCACTGCTGTCAACCGGGAGCTCACACCTGCCATTGAAGATGCAGTCTGCACACCAGCTGCAGGGCCTACCCATGACCCAGCTCCCCAGGTACTCTGCCCAGGGCTTTCCGAGCCCCACAACTGAGCATCCATCCACAGTGCAAATAGCAGCCTTGCTGGAGAAAAAGAAACGTGAGACGAGGAGCTCCCCATCGTCCCTGACTCCGTGAAGCTTGAGCACTCTTGGTGAGCATGTAGCCCTTGTTGGGCCCACAATCCCCACCTGGCCCAGCCCCACTGGGGGTTCCTCTTGGGGGATGCAGGAAGCCTTTGGTTGGTGGGCTGGGTGGGAGAGAGCTACCAGGAGAGAGCTACCTGGAAACCTCGAAGCTGTGCTCTCTGCTGCACTGCTAAGAGCATTGTCAATAGAAGTTCCTCCATCCTCTGTGTTGCCCCAGGCGTTGCTGGAAAGCTGTAGATGAGGCCCAGAGGCAGAAAGCGGGAGCAGGGTTCAGAGAAGGTAGGAGAAACCTGGGGACTGGAAGTGCTAACTTCAGTTCTTGCCCCATCCGATGGCTGCCCGCCAACCCCTAGACCTCCAGACCCCAGCTATCTCCTCCTCAGAGAGAGGAGGTGAGGTTGGTTCCAGCAAAGGAAGGCAGGGAAAGGGGGGAAGCAGTTGGCTGGGGGGAGGGTGGTGTTTCTTAACATGGGGTGACGAGCACGGTTCCCACATTCTTACCCCCATATCCTTCCCTTGAGGAGCACTTTTTTGCTCACTCATCCCTTGAAGAAGCTGTTTGTTTTCGCTGAACACCAAGCCCCTGATTCAGGCATAGAATCCCCAAATCTGAAGGGACCTTTTGGGTTATTTAGGCCAACTTGCCATGCCATGCCTGAATCATAACAAGTTGCTCCTCGGGCTGTGCTTGCATACCTGCAGAGACGGGGAGCTCCCTATTCCCAGGCAGCCTCTGATAGCTCTGAATGTGAGGAAGTTCTTTATACTGCCCCTGGAGAGCCCCATCTCTCAGAGGCACCTTTGCTGTGGGGAGTTTACATTGTCATCTGGGAACCTGGAACACTGGATTGACACCACTTAGGAAGTTAGTCTTGGATCCCACCAGCTGGAGCCACGTCGAGGTGACCTTCAGCACAGGACCTTTAGCAAGCCCCAGCCACAGCCTGCTCAGCCTCGCTCAGGGTCTCCTGTTACCATACCCAGACACCTGGCCCCCACATCTGATGACAAGAGAACCAGGAGGACCTTAGAGGTGAGCTGCTCTGCAGCCCACATTGTTCACTTGAGGAAGCCAAGTCCCCAGCAAGGGGAAGTGATCAGCAGGCTGTCATTTGGCATCACAGCCACCTGTGATCCTGGGTTCCCCCTGTGATCCTGCGCCTTTGCTGTCCGTTACAGCCCAGAGGGGCTCACCTTAGCTCTGCCCAGGGCACCCTGTGGGTGAGGCATGATGCAGGCCAGCCTCTGCCCTGCCCGCTGTTGGGGGCGCTGGGTCCCTGCAGCCGTGTGCTAATATGCAACGTAAAACTGATGCCCCTGACAGTCAAGAGACCTGAAATCAAACTGGGCCTCCAACCTTGGGCTGCAAGTCCCTTACCCTTCCTGGCCTTAGACCCCCAAATGGGCAGTGTCCGCCACCATTTGATCTGGGTCTGCCAGTGAAAGGTGGGGAGAGCATAGAATTGCTCCATTTCCCGGGACCCAGCCAGGAGTGTGTTCTCTGTCTGGACCCACCACAGCCTCTGACCTCCTGACTCGGCGCTGGAGAGAGGATAAGCGGTGAGGAGACAGGGCCCTGGGTTAGGTCTCCCTGGGAGGGAGGGAGAAGGAAGGCAGTGACAGCAGCCTGCAGAGTGTCTACTGCCATCTCCACATCTGGTGATGCTGGTTTCCGTTCAGTCCAGAGATGTGCTGCAGACGTCTCCGGAAGACAGACCTGGGGCAGTGGGGGTGGGGAGATTCCAGAGGCCTCTGGCTCAGCCCTCGTATGATGCCCAGGGCTGGGCTTCCTTGAGCTTGAGGTATTTCCCGCGCTCAACCCAGGGCTCCCCGGCCCCAGGTTACCCCAAGCAACAGCTCTGGCATCCACAGTGGGGTCAGCCGCAGCTCCGGCCCCAGGCCACTAGGCGTGGCTGGCCTCTGTGCCCCAGGCCACTGGGCAGGGGAGGGGAAGAGCAGACAAGAAGGGAGAAGGGTAGCTTCTTTCCCAGAAACCTTCCAAAGGGGACATCTCAGAGCCCTTGTGTTGCGGACAAAAGGGAGCGGGCTGGCAGACACTGCCATCTTCTGGTCACTTGCTGTAACAGCATCACTGTGTGGCTGAAGT